TGGGATTGGAGACAGCGTGGTCTCGTGATTCAAGGTCACTCGGGATGAGTGCGGATGGGGTGTGTTATATGTTGAATGGAGTTATTATTATTTCTAAGGCAATCAAGGATAAATTGGAAGAAGATAGATTGATTAGCCATAGTTGAATTGGCATATTAGTGGTAGTAATCAGTTCCTGTAGCGGGACCAAGTTATGCAAGTGATTTGTGACGGTACGTGTGAGGCCGGTCGGCCACCGTAATTGATATTATTCAAAAGTATTCTATTGTTATGGCCTGTTATGTGTAGGCGGATCCCGGAAGGGCTATGGTGGCTTAGACCACTACTTAGAGATTGCATATTCCACGGTTATGAGAATTCACCTGTGGANAAGATCGGTGTTTTGTGAAAAAGGCTTTGCATCCTGGTTAAGGATTCTTGATCGCTTTTCAGCGAGTGCGGCCGGTGGTTTGGATGTACAGACTTGTTATATGTTACGGAAGATTGTGGGAGCGTGCCCCACGGGGAGGTTGTATAAGTGTGGCATGTAGTCACTTGAGTGATTGAAGATTTAAGCCAGGTATGAAGATCATGGTAATATCACTAATGTGAGAAATTATGCTTGGAGGGCACTCGACTTATTGGGTTGTGGACCGTGGAGGATTGCCCCGGTTATGACGGTAGTTCTCGTGTGTTATGAGAAAAAGGGAGTTATCATGGACCTTCGAAAGGTCACTAGCCTAGTTCAGTGTGATCAGAATCAGCTTGTGGTCTATGGATGGATCTAAATGTGAATATGGGCTCTATATCAGGCATAATGTGTTCATTTCAGCAATGCACTCCTTTGGACAAGTAGTCGGGATGTTATTTCGTCGTCAGCTATTTCATGTAATGATATATTGCACCGTATGAGTTGTGATATGGCTTGGTGAATTTCTTATGTGTTGAGGTTCTGCGTAGATATGATGTTATATGAGCAAGATTTCTCTCGAGATTCAGATCGTGTATCGCACCTCAGTTGCGCTTGAGTTTTGTAGCCTATGACACTATATGTCTCCCCAAGGATGGTATTATGCACTTAGCGTGCTTGTGATTGATATTCGGTATTTTGTTGTAATGAGTAATTTAGCTCGATGTATATCTCCTTATGTGAATTCTATATGTGGATCGGGTGGCACGCCGCCATGGGTATGTTATTTGGATCGGGTTGCATGCCGCAACAATGTGATATTGAGTACAGTTTTCTATATGCTATTTTTGTATGCCTTATTTCCCATTTTCAAAGGAAAGTCCATATTAGTGCGTGAGTTGAGTAGTTCCTTCCAGAGTTCGTTTTCCTTTTGTCACATTTAAGTTCATAGCCTATTGGCACATTGTGGCATCATATGAAACTTTTGATCATGTCCAGGGTGGCTTTTTGCCTGAGCAGTTTGTACTGGGTGAGATGAGATCATTGGATTTAGGATCAGTGCAATCTGATTATATGAAGTATATTAAGGAGCTAAGACCATTATTTGGTTCATAATGAGGTGATGGTTTTTGTTAAGAGTATAGACCCAATGACTTGTTGATTCGGCAGTAGGTTATGAATTTCTACACATCTCTTCTGTTATGGCGGTATTGTAAGAGTTAGAGCAAGACCTATGTAGGTCATGAGGTGCAATGGGAGCATCAGATTCATGGAATTTTGATTAATTTAATCAGAGAATGTTATTGTGGTCCTGTGAGTAAAGTGGTGCAAGTTGTGAATTCAGCTAAGGTATGCAATCATATTTTGGTGCTGCGTGTAGTTATTGATACGGTGAGCGTATGTTAGAATAGGCCTGGCAGAGAATTCTGGATGATGGAATTGGGCTCTAAGGCTTATTTGCTTAAGTGAAAAAGGATATCTTCAGATCAATCGGGCTAGGGTGCCCAACTGAGTTATGGTAGCACGGGTAAGTGCTTGAGGTGTTAAACAATGATTTTGGACAACTTCAACATAGTTCTTAGCACGTTCGAGGACGAACGTATGTTTAAGTGGGAGAGAATGTAATGACCCGACCGGTCGTTTTGAGCTTTAGCACGTTCTTTGGTGGTTTGAGGCCATGAACAGCTTCACTTTAGGTATTATGACTTGTACACATTGTCGGAATTGAATTTTGGAAAGTTCGGAGTTGATTTGGAAAGATAATTCTCATTTCGGAAGCTTTAAGTTGAAATAATGGACTAAGATTGGATTTTTGAGTAAACAAACTCGAAATCGGGATTCGAAGGTTCCAGCAGGTTCGTATGATGATTTTGGACTCAGGCGTATGTCCGGACTGGGTTTTGAAAGAACCGGGAACATTTTAGCGCCTATTGTGGAAGTTAGCATTTTGGAAGAATCTCATAAGTTTAGGTTGAAGTGCATTTTAGGGTTATCAATGTCCATTTGGGATTTCGAGTCTAGGAATAGCTCCGTATGGTGATTCTGGTATTGGGAGCACGATCGGAAGTGAATTCGGAGGTCCGTAGGCCATTTTGGAGTCATTTGGCTAAAGATAGAAATTTAAAGGTTTTTGGAAAGTTTGACCGAGAGTTGACTTTTTGATATCGGGGTCGGATTCCGATTCCGAAAGTTGGATCAGGTCCGTAATGTCGAATATGCTTGTGTGCAAAATTTAAGGTCAATCGGACGTGATTTGACGGGTTTCGGCATCGAATGTAAAAGTTTGAAATTTCAAAGTTCATAAAGTTTGGATTGGAGTACGATTCATGATTTTGACATTGTTTGATATGATTTAAAGCCTCGGCTAAGTCCGTAATGTGTTTTGGGACTGGTTGGTATGATTGGTTGGGGTCCCGGGGTCCTCGGATGGATTCCGAATGGCTAACGGATCAAAAATGGAATTTGGAGAAGGTTTGATGCTGATGTACTGGTATGACCGCATTTGCGGTGTTTTGGTCGCAAATGCGACATCGCATTTGCGAGAGGGAGCTCGCATTTGCGAACCTGGGGGCTGCTGAGGGGGATCGCATTTGCGAGGGGGCCATCGCTTTTGCAATACTGTCTTCTTCGCATTTGCGAAGCATTTTATCGCAAATACGACCATGGCAGGGGAAGCTGGGCTTCGCATTTGGGGTGCTTTTGTCGCAAATGCGACCATCGCAATTGCGAGCCGGGAGTCACAAATGCGACTTCTGCGTCTGGTGCTGTGGCTTTTGAGAGCATTTGAGGAGGGATTCCATCATCATCAAAGAGATAAGCAATTTCTACACGTCATAAGTTAAATACATGGATTATGGATAGATTAACATGTGAAAATTAGGGAAAATCAAGGGTTGTAGATGAAAAAACCTAGAATTATGTAAAAACAAGATTTAATCACGAAATTTGTTAGGGAATGGAGTAAAAATCATATATTCTTGATCCTTAGGTTATGGGTAACAACTTTCTTCAAATATTTCCGAAATCCGGGCACGTAGGCCCGGGGATGAATTTTAGGAACCTTGCATTTAAGGTTGGAAAATTTGTTTAATAATAGAATATGAGCTTTTGAGCATGTATTGACTAGTTCTTAACCTATTTGAATAGTTTTGGATCGTTCGACTCCAAATTAGAGGTTTGAGCGCGTTCTTGAATCGGAATATAGGCTTCAGAGCGAGGTGAGTCTTCTTTCTAACCTTGTAAGAGGGAATTGTCCCCATAGGCGAGTTAATTGGTTATGTGTTCCTATTTGCGGGGGCTACGTATGCACGAGGTGACGAGAATCCGTGCATAGCTACTATTTTGCTTTAGTCCGGGTAGTTTAGGGCCCAAAAGCATGCTTTCTTGTAATACTTGCAACCTTGTTGACAAACTTAAAATGCTTAAAACATATCAAACATGTAAATGAATTTCTAAAAAAAGGCTAGATATCATTTCTTGACTTTTAAAAGAGAAATTTGTCTTTTCCTGAATATTTGCTCCTTGATGAATTATTGATTTGATTGTTTGAGTGTGTTTGTATATTGCAGAACGGGCCGAACGCCTCGATAGATTAAATAGATGCATCTATGGTTCGCGCCATATGACCCTGTAGCAGTGCACAATTTAAATATTGTTGGATCGGGTTGTACGTCCTCAGCATGATTGGTGCATGATTGTATTGCTTGCCTTGAAATTTATTGATATCGATATTTTCTCTCTTAGCCTTGAGATAATTGAAAATTAATGGATTATGAATCGGGAGACTTTAATTATAAAAAGGAACTTTTACCTGTTCGTGACTTATTTGAAATTGTTGTCGTTCTTAATAAATCCATGATTGTTCGCATTAATAATATATTACCGTTGGGCCACTAGTAAGTGTCGAAGTCGACCTCTCGTCTCTACTTCTTCGAGATTAGACGAGATACTCATTGGGTACATATTGTTCTCATACTCATACTACACTTGTTGTGCATTTTTATTGCACAAGTTTATGTGTGGCTTAGTGGCATAGCGGTATGGTTAATACAGAGACTTAGGTGAGTTGCATTTATCGAGACGTCCGTAGCCAGCAGAGTCTCTTTCAGAGTATTGTACTATATTTTCATTTTTGTCCACTTGTATTCCGGACAATTACTGTATTTTATTTTATTACCTAGTAAATGCTCATGCACTTGTGACACCGGGTTCTAGGATGTCTATAGAAGTATTCAGTATTTTGAAATTATTAAAGGTATCATTATTTATTTAGTGGAAATTTATTCCTTATTGTTTAAATATATAAAATAAGTGAGTTCAGAAATATCTAAAACGAGAAATTACTAGTTATTTATTGTTGGCTTGCCATGGTGTCCGGCGCCATCACGACCCTTAGTGGATTTTGGGTCGTGATATTTGTATATGTATCACTACCATGTATATGAAATGTAATTTTATCGTATCCTTTGCAAATATAATTGTAAATATATTTCACTACCTTGATATCAAAACAAACTTCAACATTTATATGACAATTATACTTGCATAGCAAAAATGGATTATATGGAACTACCCAAGAATTATCGAGAAACTCACCTCTTACTTCTACAGATTATCCGGTTCTTCTCCTTCTGTATATTGGATATGAATTCTTCCCTTTTGATGTTTGTTCAGCAAAATCTTTTGGATACTTGAATTTGCAGTTATTATTTTTCATGCAAATATTTGTAGGATTTAACTTTCCACAAGGACCATGCATCATATGTTTAATAACAAGTGAATATCGATCGCGATCTTTTTTAGAATCAGGCAATTCTGCACAGACAAATTTATCATAAGATTCAGGAATCAGTAATTTGTGGTCATCAGTAAGTATAATAAGGAAATGAGCATGTGGAAGACCGCATTTTTGGAATTCTATAGTATACATGAATCCAGCAACTCTTCCAAAGATTTGTCTTTTTAAAATATCCGTCTTTAATTCTTCCACTTTTACTCTGAAAACTTTACTAATTAAATCAGGTCTGTTATATACCTCATCAGCCAGTGACAAATGTTCTTTTATTTCTGGCCAAGAAGGATTACAAGTCATTGTTATAAAGAAATCAGGTTTTCCAAAATATTGTACCAATGCGATAGCATCCATATATCGTTGGTGCATGTCCCTTGGTCCCCCTATAAATGTAACAGGGAGGAATGTTTTCTTTCCAATTTTAGAGGCTTCCCTTTCACCACATTTTAAAATATCAAGGAGTCCTTGCAAGACCTCAATTCTAAATAAATCTGGATTAAATGAGAAGAAGTCTAATCTTTATGTTTCGAGCTTTTTATATACATCTACAATAAATTATTGGAATATTCTTCCACAATGTAGCACTTCATTTGTTTTATTATCTCTTATTTGAAATTTGTAACAATAATACTCTCGACAAGACACTGTATCTCTTTTTCGTTTTCCTTTTTGTAATGATTCGTCTTCCATATCAAGAAATCCATCAATTGAACACATGTTTGATATACTGGGCAATTGTTCATGTTCACAGTAAGCTCTACATCTCATCACATTATTTGTTTGAATAATTTTTTTGATTGTACAATGCCATCCATTTTCACCGAAGGTAAATAATAATGGATACTGCAACGGATCATAACATCCATAATAATAATGTACTAATCGAGCTCTATTAGTGTAGGTATAAATTCGAATATGTGGTGCAGAAATATCTCTAGGATTTTCTTCAAGCCATAATGCCGCAAACTCCAATGAGCTGGGTAAGTTATATGTTCGTTGATCTAAGGTTGAGTGGCATTTAAGAGCAATATAATCAGATAATTGGGCAACATTCAAGGGAGATTTTAAGAAAATAGTATGTGGATTAAATTTCAATATGTCCATCAACTTTTTCACTATTGATTCATTAATATTTGTCGAACAAGCTATCCTATTAGCTAGGTCATTATCATGGTCGTAGAAGTACAATTGTAAATTCCTGGGTTTTTCATTGGAAGGGATTAAATCATCTATAAAATGATACATTTTTCCTTGGAGTCTAAATGTGTAGATACCGCAATTTCTTTTCGCTAGCTCTTTATCATACTTTACACCAAGTGAAGTAAATGCAAACATGTTGTTATAAGTTCGAAAGTTTTCAGATTCCTCAGTATTTCCAAAGTATAACTCTGATAATTCAGGTGGCATTTTATGAGATGTCAACCTTATTGCACTACTAGTTACAGCAAAATCCTGGAGGTTCATATTCAAACCTCTTTGCACGACAGTATTGGAAGTGCGGAACGTTTTTTAGAGCAACATAGTCACTTCGTTACTCTTTAGCAGCCAAACACACCTTTATGGCCCGTCTATGAACTGAATACATAAAAAGTATCATTAAAAAAAGGAAACACGAAGGCATACGTATGGTGGCCATTATTATAATATAAATTTTATGCAAACCTATGATTGGAACATCGTTCAAGGAAACAGGAGGCGGTTTAGATGTACCCGACGTGGACCGTTATATATAAATAATCACAGATTACAGTAATGTACAAACAATATGTTATTCTCAAATAAAGTATAATCTAAAGGTAGATTTACCTGTTTCATGAATGATAGGGGGATCTAAAATAGACTTTTCTTTTTCTAGATTATCCATAACTGTAGTCGTGCAAGTTTGAAGACTGGCAGCTAGTAAATAGAATAGCCAAGACATTTAAAAGCGTACAGTGAAGCCGCAGTAGATGCAAAATAAAGTATAAAACATCATATGGTATTTTTGTATTTTAGTTTATAGGCACATATAAGATAAGTAAGATATCATACTCAATCTCCAAGCAAAATTAAGAAGCAGTTTTATCCTAATAATATATAGTGTATAAACATGAGTACAACAATATAACTTTTTTAACGAAGAGAAGGATATGGTACCTGTTTCACAAATGATAGGGGTATCCAATATAATATTTCCTTTTTCTAAATTATCACGCAATGTAGTTAGGCAAGCTTGATTGTTGGTACTTGGTAACACAACAGCGAAGGCGATTAAAAGCGTACAGTGAAGCTTCAGCAGGTGCAAAATAGAGTGCAATAGAGCACATACTATTTGAGTATTTTAGATTGTAGTCACATAAGATAAATAAAGTATTATACTAAATTTCCAAGCAAAATACTTAAGAACCATTGTATTAATAACATATAGTTTCTAAATATGAGTACAACAATCTAACCTTTTTCCGCAAGGGAAGGAGGTTCTCGTATGGTAAGAGCAGTTTATTTTAGAAATCCTGTTTTGTCCCAAGATGATGTTGCCAGCTCTAGGACAACAACAATCGGACTTTCAAGAAGGTTGTACTGTGCAAAATTTTGTCTTCTCATACGTTGTGATAGCAACATCGCTTCCCTTCTACGAGCCTTCCTTTTTTTCTGTGTATGAGTACTTGTTTGGTTCTTTGGAATCCATCAGTTTATGGCAGTTCAATTTTCCTTTTCACCTATAAATATTTCCAGCAGGAGTTCTCATGAGATGTTTAAAACATAAATTATATTTTTAATATCACGGAATACAATATCTATTAAATATTCTATCTAGGATACTAAAAAATGACATACTGATCACTGAGGGCTCATGTCTCAGAGACATGTCATACATCACTCACAAATAAATTGGCTTTATATTAATTTGTCAATCCTTAAAAATCCTCATTAATGATTTTGGTTATGAAATCATCCCAGTAAATCCAGCAAAGCATAACGTTCATTTCAGCATCTTCTTATCTTATTATTATTATACCAAATAGCAGGCTGAATCCTTGTCCAGTATAGTCATCATAAGTATATGTGTACTTTGCAATTGCACAAATAGGGTAAAAAATATTGTTCTTTAAAATTTTGTAGCTATTTGGAGCAAATAGAACAATCTGCTTATCAGTGAATATATTTTTTATCTAATCAATTACGTATAATGTTTGTGCAACCATTATTCAGTGTGTTCATCATACAGATTGTAGATGCAAGTTACAATCTCACTGAAGACAAACTGTGGTAAATTAAATTCGACTTCGATGTATGAAAGCTCCAGAAACATTTGGACAAGAGAAATCAGTGTTTCTGGACAGGTTCTTCACCACTCAACCTTATTTCACTAAGGTAATTCCATTGATCAAAATTAGCTTATTGATCTATCCTTTTGTTTTGGATGTATAGTGCAAAGGTTTAGCTTTTTTTCGACTTTTGGAAAAAAGAGGCACAAATTAAACCAAAAATACATTAGTACCCCCTAAATGCTAACAAGACATCTCTACATTAAAGAACTCACATAAGATAGATTTGGATCAATACCTGAACACAAATTCCCAACGTTCTTGAAATATGATAATTTTTGCAGCATCATTTCATATGAAAATTTGAAACAAGATCAAACCTTTAAAGCGAGAACTGAGTGAAACAAAACAAATTACTATTGAAAAGAGGCAATGATAATCATCTATGAATGACAAAAAAGTGTTTGCCATAATAAAGTTGCAACGTTTATCAGCTTTAAAAAACTTGTAAAAAGTCAAGATTATACTTTAGCCTTTGACAGACCCAGATTGACATAGGATAGAGTAGATAATTTCTACAAAGTCTTCTTACACTACATTTCCAATTGTTTCGATCAAATAAAGCGACGATAACTCTTTAATGTTGAGGCTACTATGCACGAACCAAAACAAAGTATTGATGCCAGAAATCAGTCAGAAGAACAACAAGAATAATACCAAGAGGCACTTTAGGCTAGCTAATAGCGACTTTGAACAATTTGTTCAGCTCTTTCTCTTTGGCTATAGAATTATGATTAATGTTGTGACCTTTCATATTGAGCCCAGCAAGCAGATCTTACATCTATAATTTTTTCTTTAATTCAGGAAAGAATCTAACTTGAGACTTTGTATTTATACAAGTTAAGATTATACTTTAGCCTTTGATAGGCCCAGGTTGACATAGGAGAGAGCAGATAATTGCTACAAAGTCTTCTTACTCTATATTTCCAATTGTTTTGATCAAATAAAGCCACGGTAACTCTTTAATGTTGAGTCTACTATGCACCAACCAAAAAAAATATTGATACCAGAAATCAGTCAGAAGAAGAAAATGAATAATACCAAGAGGCACTTTAGGCTAGCTAATAGTGACTTTAAACAATTTATTCAGCTCTTTCCACTTGTGGGATTACACTGGATTGTTGTTGTTGTTGTTGTTATTGTTGTTGTTGTTTCTTTTTGGCTATAGAATTATGATTAATGTTGTGCCCTTTCATATTGAGCCCAGCAAACAGATCTTACATCTATAATTTTTTCTTTAATTCAGGAAAGAATCCAACTTGAGACTTTGTGTTTATATAAGCAGGCAGGGGTTAATCCTTTTGCTGCTAATTCTTCATTCTAGCAATCAGCTCTCTCTCTTCTAATTATGCTTTCATTTGCTATTTCAGTTTATCTTCTTAGTTGATTTAAAGCGTTGGGCATATATATCGAAAGAATCTGAGTGCATAAAATAAGTATATGCATGTAACCTATAGGAAAGCGAGAATAATGTTTCATCAAAAATTAATTTTTCCCTTTCTATGTCCTATATCAAGAATTCAAGATACTACCATACCCAAATAGCTATTTAGTAGCTTATACTGCTAAAACAACATCGTCTTCTACTCGTTCTAAACATCCTCTTCTATGTAAGTGAAATAACTAGACTTTGAGAATATCTATCTACTTTTACAGATTCAGCAGCTAATCAATGTGAACAAAAAAAATAAACTCTATTGAAATTTCTCTCCTTTTTGAGAAAAAGATACAAGGTATGGATGGTTTAGTTCAATTTGTACTCTCTAATTGAAAGCAAAAGCAGTTGTTAGCATTTTGTCGTAGGTTTCCCCAACTATTTCACACTCGAGAAATTAAACCCAAAACAAAAATAGAAATCTAAAAAAATGCCTAATTCGTTCAAAAATTGCCTCAAACACCTAAAGAGCAAAATCGACGGACAGATTAAACTCTCTGAGCAATAAAGCCCTAGCATGCCATCAAAGATTAAATAGAGAAATATGGGCGAAGAAGAAGAGGAAAACTCACAAGAAACAACGATCCACACGGGAAAATTCACAAAAGTGCAAAGATAAGATCAGGAAAGCTTTTTTGATATTGGTGATACTTAATTTGTAATAAATTGGTTGTTAACCTTTTGATATAAATAACCTGCATCTGCCAAGTATCTCAAAGAGATGCCTGCCTGGTATTGATAAGAACAAGAAGAGTAAGACGAGAGAAGCGAAAGAAGAGCCTGTAGAGTGCAGTGATTGCCAGATTTTGATCGATATAATCCAAGTGAAACATTAAAAATTAGATGAAAAAACAAAATTATCCTTGAAGTGTGAAGCAGGCATGTCGTCCAGGTGTGTGCTAACTCCCTCTTATTATATAGGAGAATGTGAACTCTAAAGTTAAATAACTTTTTTAAAAAATCAAATTCATATGCTAAACAAATTTATATGGTCGGAGACTCGGAGTGGTTGAAGGGATTTTCTAAATCCACATTTTCTTAATAGCACTTTTTTTAAATTAGGTTAATATTTGTATTTTTTATAACTATAGGAAATCACAAACCTCAAATACTTGACACGTCTCACTTAACTACATTCAACAGTATTTTGGATGATTGATTTTGCATCTAGCAGAAATAGTCCGATGAAAAAGAAGTGACAGTGCCAACTGATATTTTTATGAGTTCGATAGTAGTGAAACTGTGAAAGAACCCAAAAACAAAACAAAAAAAAAAAAGAAAAATAAAAGGGAAAGGAGTAGTGGCTGTGCATGAAGGTTCTACCTTCCACGTTGCAAAGCCATGCACCTTTATTCACTATTAATTTAATTCCCCAAAATATTTTAATTGCTATAAGAAATAATTGTATTTATTTAAGTATACTTGTTTGTTAAGGTGCGGAGGGACATGCAATGCATGTCGTGGATTGGTGTGTGGTTGACTTCAGCTTGGTTGATCTCGATTCCTTTCTTTCACCTTCTGCCTTTGATTAGCTTTATCAATCAACTATACATTTCCCGTTTAGTAATACAACAATATTTCTAATTACATTTTCTTGCAAAATAATAATTGGCTAATCACATTTTCTTTTAAAAGAATTATTTCTAATCACATTCATTGTGGTGACCCAAAAGGCCATCACTTATTTTAGAAACAAATTCAGTGTTCCGAGGCCTAAAAAC